AAGCTTTCGCTAATTCTGCCTTTAGCTGCACGAAATCCGTGGCTGTATCTCTCACTAACACCGATCCAAATATTGAGTACCAATCTTGAGCCCTTCCCCTGAGATGACCTTTCAAATAAGCACATGCTAAGTTACTAGGAATTTCTAGTAACTGTACTTGTGATTATCTATGGCCTCTAAGAATTCATTAACATTCTCGGACCCTGAAAAGAACATTTCTGGTAAAATACCAAACCCTCCTGCATTACCTAACCCAGAGTCATAAATTATAACGATTCGGGCGCCATTGCGACATGGTCGACCTTCGATGACCATATCGTGTTGTGTCAGCGTAAGTTAGAGGTGTGGGATTCTCGAAATAATGAGACATTTTAGAATTCTTAATATGTCTTTTATTAAGAATTTAACTTAGATTACTTAGATATCGAACAAACTTATATTAAGTGAGAATAAACCAAAACGCGTAGTCTTAATCAACACAGATCGCGCAATTAGATCACTTATCAATATAATTATATTATATCCGCCTACTCTTAATCTCAATAATATATTCGCGTTCAGAATATAATCTTCCTACCTTGGTTGAATACGCAACGTCCAATCCACTTAAAATATTTCTCTAATTGGGCGTACAATGGTATATACCTTGGTTAAATGGCGAGGTGGTGTCTTGATTCTAAGTATGCCGTCTATCAATACATCTAACTTCTCTGAACTGAACTTTTTCTAAATTGCCATTTCGCTCACTAAAACTTCTATCCTTTTAAAGGTTATCTTATTTGCATCTATGCTTCGTTTCACTTCTTGGATTTGTGTTAGAAAAGATTTGCCATTTATCGTGGCCGTCAAAGAACACAGAGGTTATGTTAGAGGAAGGACGCGTGAGATGTCACAAAATGAATATTAAAACAAATATGCATATACAACTTTAACACATTATTAATAATAAGGATACACTATGTATTGTCCAAGTTCAGTCCATAAGGATTAGTCACTTTATCTCCTGGGCTCCTCCTCAAAGGGTTTGCTTGGGGGGAGACATCTAGTTCCGCTCCTGCTTCAACTGGTGGTGCAAAGAAGGGGACATTCAGTGCTGTTTCTCTCCTTTAGTTTTTCATGTACTCCTAAGAGCTCCGGCTATTTTTTAAAACGGATCCGATTTCACAGCATTTCACCAGCCGGCGTCCACCGAAGGGGAAAGGGGGAGTCTCTCCCTTTCAAATTTGCTCCCCATTTCCTCCTGTCCTACAACGCGGGGTTCACGATTTTTCCTCATAACACAAATCACCATGAATAGTCACTCTTTCGGTTTGGCAAGCCGTTTAAAAACACTATTTTGAAGTTTTGGAGAGTATGTCATTTATCCTAGACTTAAGTCTAACCTTTTTTCGCATTGTTGGTCGCCTTCTCATAACATCAAATCGTTGGATAAAAGGCAGTTTCCGAGTAGGTTTTTCTACTCCTCACTGAACTTGCGAATATTTACGCCAATGATATTGCTCAAATATAACGTTGCTTGAGGCTTTTAAATTCAGGTTAAGACACACTTTCGGTTTTACTTCTTCAATTTCATCATCATCTGAATTTACTGGCTCTTTTCTAAGTATCACTATATTAATAGCTGTCCCCTTTATCACATCGACTGATCTTTCTTCTTTTTCTTCACACATCTCATCGGCAGAAATTAGCAGTACCCTTTTTTTCCGGAACAGTGACAGGTTGTGCTACAACATCTGGACCCACACTAAGCATTTTGGCTCGTTCACTTTCAAGAGGAAGAACTTTCTCGGTTGCTTGAGGTAACTCCATGTCTTCATCTGACTTTTCCGATCCCATTTTGTCTTTCAACACCCTTCTTTCGCATGCACTAGCGTCAAACACTGCTTGCTGTTTCGTTGCGAGAAATTCGTTTTTTATTATCACTTGGTGAGGAAAATAAAGCACTGGGTCATTCGTTGAAATAAAATTATTTGTTACTTCTCAATTATTACTTCATCTAAATAATTCCTGAAACTCTTACAATACTCAGAATACAACACCTTATCACTTTGCATTTTTCTCATAGGACTTCCAAGTCGTCTTTTCTCAAAATTAAAATTATCACTCAACTCATCACTATCTCTTTTCCACGGGGGAGTTCTACCACATATCTATCATTTTTAAAATGTACTCTCTGCTTAAACATTTCTAAGTTAACGTCCTCCTGACTATTACAATTCTCGTTTTTGACATCAATCGATTTTAACTCCCTAAAAGAATTTAATGTTGTATTTAAATCACTACCTCTAATTAATCCACAGTGAATCTTACTATCTCTCACCTCATCTACACTTCCACTAACTACATATCCAAACACAGTATTTTGTAAAAGTAGTCGAGAACCTCCACAATAAATTTGGCCTGGTCTCGGTAATTCGTAAAATATTTCCGCGCCTAACAACACATCAATTTTACCAGGAATATTAAATTTATAATCCGCTAGCTTAATTTCACTTGGTTTATTTAATGAAACATTTATTATTTGAGACGAAGTTAAATCAGTTATCTTTTTTACAACTAATAAATTTAGCTCTTTTTTGAAACTTAAATCATCATTACATATGGAGGTTGTAATATCATTTATTCTCATCGTCATTTATTCTCATTGTTGACTCATTTAAACACGATACCAACAAATTAATTTTCTCATTTTTCAATTATAATCTATCTGCACAATCCTTAGTAATAAAATTTGATTGACTCTCCACATCTAAAAGCGCTCTTACCTCATGTAAGATGCCAAATCTATCCCTAAGGAAACACTGAACACTACTCAGTAAAACTGGTTTTGTTTTACTTTTTAAAAAACTCGTTGCTACAAACGCTTGTTTTCTTCATTTCCACCTTGGGGGGAGGGGAGACGCAATCTGATCCTTCCGGTCCCCCGAACACATCTGCGAGCGAGTTTGATTAGCTTTTACGAAATCCACTCTTTCACTGACCCTGAGAGATTTAAATTTTGGGCATGAATACAGCGGGTGGAATTCTCTTGATTTACAACAAAAACATTTCACATTTTTAATGGAAGACAGATTTAGGCTTGAAATATTTTTTGCTCCACGATTATAGACCTCATTACGTTTAAACTTAGAAAATAAATTCTGTTCTCTAATTTAACCACATTTCGCCCTGCTTAACACCAATATGCGCTTTTAATTCTCGGTCTAATGTCTGTATTATCTTATCTGATATAATTAATTCGCAAACTGATTTGAAATCATTGATCTCCCGTATAACTGGCAATACTAATTAAAATTCGCACTTAATCTAGAAGCGCGAATTGAACATACTCTCGCTAGGTAATTTTTGAGCCTTTTTAAATTGTGATTTAAACATTCATAGAGGGTCGGTTGAAATTCTTTTAACACAATTGCCTTCAATTTATTATAAACACTTAAATCTTCTTCTCGAAGATAAATCATTAAGTTATTTGCTTTTTCTCCTAGAATATTCAACAGAATTTTGGGTTTTAATTTCTCAGGAGCATTTTTAGTTTTGAATGCCTTTTCGATTGATTGAAAAAATAAATTAAACGACTCTGCTCTTAAGGGTACCGGGATTATTAACGTTTTAATACTTTTAATCAAGCTTTCAACATTACACTCGGTTGTAATTAATTGATTTTCATTTTGTAAATTAACATTTTTGCCCAATTGATTACGTAATTTTGCTATTTCTAACTCCTTCTCTAACTGTAACAGTTTAATTTTTTCAATTTCTAGTCTATTTTCGTCTTCACATTGCTCCTCTCTCTCTCTATCATTTATCTCCTCCAACACACAATCAACAATAGCCTGATATACGTTTCCTTATCATTTTTATAAATCTCACTCTCCTGTATTAATTATCTTAAATCTAGAACAATAGCATATTGTCTAACTCTTCTGCAATAGACCGCAATTCATCTTTTTTAAATTTACCTATACTCATTTTCACAAAGTAAAGTTATCTCAATCACCAATGAAACAAAAATCAATCACAATTTAATTATCCCAACCACAAATTAAAGTTATCTCTACCACAAAAAAAAATGAAACACATAAAATCACAATAATTATATCAAAACACAAATTAAAGTTAACTTAGCCACAAAAATGAACCCCATAAAATCACAAAATAATTATCTCAAACACAAATTAAAGTTAACTCAACCTCAAATTAAACACTTATAAGTCACAAAATAACTATCTCAATCACAAATTAAAGTTATCTCCACCACAAATGTAATACATATAAATCACAAATAATTATCTCAAATCACAAATTAAAGTTATTTCAATCACAATTTAAACACTTATAAGTCACAAAATAACTATCTCAATCTCAAATTAAAGTTATTTCAACCACTTATAAACCACAAAATAATTATTTTCAAAGTACAAAATAAGAAAATCGATGACTGACCTCTCACCACAAGTGACAATATCAATTGAATCTCCTCCAAAGGGACGCTTTCCTTTGTTTTCATTTGTGCTCGTTGCGTACACTACAATTCCTTTTCTTCAGTCCCGGCCATTTCAGGCTCTGACGGACCATGAACGCGCACTGATTCACTACACATATTTTAAAATCTCTAAAAGATCACACCACACATTAAATAGCTAGGACTAAGATAAAAAAAAATTTTATTAGAGCATTCTCCATACGCTCTTGCTCTTACTCTGTTTACACATACTCTGCCTTCTCGCGACAAATATTCACTTGTTGCTGTGGGCGTCACAAGAATTATTTGTTCAACACTGAACAGTTACAATTAATATAAATACGTATATACATATGAGAGAATCTTAAAATCAAGTAACAAAATAGAAAGCTATTTTTTTTGTTGCAATTTTCCATTTTCTTTTCTATTTATAGTGTCGGATTTTTTTTTTGTTTGTTACTATTTATTCATTAATTAAATTTAATTATTTCAATAAAATAGTATAATAAAAAAGAAATCACGTTCTCCAAAATTAGGCCTTTCCAGGTGTTATCTGAACCCACAACCTTTGGATTAGAAGTCCAATGCGCTATCCATTACGCTATAGAGACACAACGAACGATTTTCCTTTCTGTATATGCTGAAGTGGACTACTATTTTTTATTACTATATTTATTTCTTTTTTAATTTAATTGATGAATCAATATTTGAAAAAATGTATTAACATTAAGTGTCATCCACTACAAGTTTAAAAAAATGTACTTGAATTTAATGGATGAATAGAAAGCATTTTCTTAATGATTGGAAATTTGAAATATATATATATATATGTGTGTTTGTGTGTGTGTGTGTGTGTGTATAATAAATCCTTCTAGCCTCCTTTTAAATAACTCTTTTAATAATATTTAAAAAAGCTTTAATTCTTTGGTTCAAAACTAACACCCTAATTTTAATCGTAATCAACTATTATCAGATATCCCTTTAGCGTCCGATTTAATCAGAGATCTTATTGCAAAATTGTCACGCGGACTTCACTGCCGGGTATATAAAGCGAAAATCTTTTGTGATTGCTCTCTTTGTCTTTGTGTTCGTCCTGTGAAATGTCGCTGCTGCTTTTGTCGCTTCTGTTATATGTGTTTGTTTTCGTGTTCTTACCAAATAGATGTGAAATATGAAGGTGATTGATTATCTACGTTATGCGTGTGTAAATAAACAAGATGAAAATAAATTCTGAAGATGTTTTTCCTGAGGCCTGATATCCAAATACAACAACACCGGCCAACGCTATTACACACACACACACACACACACACAC